ATTCAGCTCGTAGTGCTGGGGAGATAAGTGAGGTTCTTTGCCCATGCCATCGCCGGAAGTCGCATAGGCTAACCTAGCGCAAGGCAGTGCTCCCCCATTATCGCCAACTTGTCATTATTTGTTTTATAATTCAGTCACTTCGCGTTCAGCATGCATCATAAAGGAGCAGAGACATTAATGGAAAATAAGATGATGGCTTCTATGGGATATATATACAGCCTGAGAAAACAGCCCACATTTTGTGACGTCACTGGTCGGGTTTCCCCACGAAATAACATCTGAAGGCACTTTCCATTTGTCAGAACTGGCCAGCCGGACCAGTCAGTTAGCAAATAAAATCCGTATTTTTAAAGGAATTTTTGCTAAAAAACCATCTCATTCACGTATACCAGCTATCATTGACTGATCTGGCTGGAAAGTGTTGATACCAAATTCTCATTATGACGGGAATGTCGTCTGGCCGGTCAGTTCTGACAAATGCAAAGCAACCACAGCATAGCGTCCATATACGCACATACGCTCATGTGTACAAGTAAAACTAAAGTACAAAATAAAATATATTTTAATTTCTTGAAAGAGCATTTTCTATCATTAAATCAGAATGACTGATACATTTTTTGCACTATTTTAGTGTCATTGTGTTATTTCCTTTACCCTTTTATTATTCTATAATTCTCATGGAGTCGCTCCCCTTTTTTTCCTGTGAACACTGTTACCTTACATACACACATAAATACATTTATTTCATGTACCCACGGGGCTTTTCAGTGAAATATTAAACAAATTGAAAATAGAATGATGTGAAATAAAATAAAACACAAGAAAAAAATTAAAATACAGGAAGTTAGATTAATTAGCAGTAAGTACCTAATGATAAAACTATTAATTTTATTATTGGATTCTTATGCTAGCTGTATTCTGTGATCTAATAAATTCAGTTAGGGCCCGTTTACATGGTGGTTGGGGACCCCAGGTAGGTCAGGTAACCTGTTTAGCGGGGTATATAACCCGTCTGTCCATTATAATCTCTCAAATGGTCACTCCACCTATCATCAAATTAATATGAGAGCTTGTATGGACAGGCGGGTTACCCCACAAAAGCGGGTTACCTCACCTACCCAGGGTCCCCCACCTCCATGTAAACAGGCCCTTTAATAGTGTCCATTAGAAGTCTTTTTCTCATCATAGTATTAAATTCTGCTAGCTATTGACTTAACATGATATTTTGCAGCTAGAGCATTCCAGAGAGATACTATTCTATAATAAAAAGTTCTTTGGACACTTGCAGATCTAAATAAAAGAACATTTAACAACTTTGAGTTTCTAGTTCTGCGCGTTGATATAGATGAGCGCTTAATAAACTGACCGGATAGATACTCTAGGATAAGGTAAAACTAAAATTAACAACTAGTACTGCATTTGCAGAAAATGTCCAGCAGAAAAACACTGGGAATGGCATTTCCAAGACCCTAGATTTAAAGATTTTTGGGGGAGAATGCTCCAGAATAGACTTGCTACAAGTCAACCTCTCAGTCATAAATTCTTACAATTGAGCGAAGCGGGGTTCCATGCATGTCGTTGTGCAGCAACCAAGCTAGCAGCGAAGTCTCGAGGTCATAACCAACCAGGCATTACCAATCAGGAAAGAAATAAACTTTAGAAAGTCAAGCCCCAGAACCACCAAGGTTGGCCCCTGTTTATTTAGCAGGTTACAGGTATTCATTTGACAAGTTTAGAATATTAATTAATAATGACTTATCAAAAAAGATAAAATGACGGTAGACACTAGCTGCCAGATCAAGACATTTGTCTTGCCCAACTTAGGTTTGTTTCAAAAAAGCTTAAGCAGTTAAGTGCCAATAGTGACCAACAACAATTTTCTCCTAATAATATCTATATTATCATCAAGAGATAAAGTTGTGAGAATTAATAAATTGATCACCAAGGGGAAAATGCCATGATCTTTTATCAAATTCTCTCAAGCATTTCTTAAGGGAAATGTATGGAGATCAGTTTGGAGAATTTGTATGTGGATATTGGGGCTTAAAAGGTTAATATAAACACATTTTGATCTTTATAGCGACCACATTGTATATAGGTTGCCTTTTTTCTTTCCTCCACCAAACGGTCTCTGCCTTGATGTGGCTTTTTATTCTTTCCTAATTTATTCCTTTAATGCTTAGTCTTTTGGTGGTCAAGTCTTTTATGCAATGGTTCTAAGCCATTTTGTAAACTATCCATATGGCTCTCTGCATTTCTCATTTCTCCTCTGTTACAATTATCATAATCTGCAAGGTTCTTGACTAAACTCCACGTTCCATCAGAATTAACCCTGAAATTGTCTTTCTTGTAATGCATCAGGTGGTATGGGAATCTTTCCTCAGTTACATAATCAAAAAGAGAATGGTATGCTGGACTCAGCCTGTCAACTCCAGCCAGCTGTGCGATCATTCCGTCATAATCTCCCCTTGTGCCTATTATATGAGCATGATGTTCAGGCATCCCAAGAGACAGCCTCTCCTGGAAATCTTGTTCTTCATCAGCATTCATCTGACCTTCAGACGGCAAACTCTTTCGTCCACTCAAAACTGATGCAATGTACTGGGCCTGCATGCTAAAACGTGGAAATGTGCAGAAGTTCTTAGAACATAGCCCAATGAATGACAGTGTTGGGTATTTTGTATTGAAAATGTGTTTGTATAAATGTGTTACTCTGTTGTTCCTGACCAAGATACTGCAGTCATCATGCAGGAACGGAAAAGAAATTACGTAACCAGTACACAATAAGATTGAGTCAACTTTCCTCTCTTGTCCATCCTCGAACAGGACTGTTCCATCCGTGTGGATAGAAATTAACGGCCTGTGTTGTTCCACATTTTCTGGGAGTGTAGAGCAAAATCTGCTTTTATGGCTGATGTAAACTTTTTCTGCACAGTTTGCTACATCAAGGCAAATATCTCTACCAGAAGGCCCGCCTCCAAAAATAACCAGATGTTTTCCTTGAAAGACTTCAGGATGCCGATAATCATGACTATGCATAACAAGTCCAGGGAAAGACTCCTGGCCAGGAATTACTGGCAAACGAGGAACAGCAAAATGTCTGGAGAAAGAATGTTCAAATTTAAAAACAAGTGCTTTTTGATGTTGTTGTTGATTTTTGTTTTTTGACAAAAAGGGCCAAAAGAGTTTTATTATGACTTACACACTCTAGAGGTTAATAAATAAATAATAATCTTTAACATCTTTTGCAAACTCAGAAAAGACAAACAACTAGGAATAAAATTCAGTGGGCAATCTCATGTATAAGTCCAAAAGTCATTTTAACTAGCCAAAAAAAAATTATAGTAAATGCAAGGCCTGCAGGATTGATTACGGTTTTTTTGCTAATTATTTAACCCATTCGCCCCTGAACTGCCCGTAACCGCCCATGCGGATCCAGGTCCTTTCTACCCTTTGTGACATCATCAGTTTTAATGGTCAAGGACAACTTTCTTCACTAACTTGTGCAGAGTGAAGAGATCTTTCAAACCATACCAGAATAAGCACAATTCAGTTAAGGACACCGGAGAAAGAAGCAAAAAACCACGTGACATTGACCTGAAAATTTCCACGAAAATCTTGTTCCATTACCCACTACCTTTCCTTTCACCTAATCCTAAGATCCTAAAAGCTTTCCTAAAAACTTTTCCCACCAAAATGAAGCCTACTAAATGCCCAGCAAGAGAAAAAAAAAATGAGGCAAGAAAAGCGACAAAAGAAGGGAGGAGAGAAAGCGAAAAGTAAAAGTCAAGACTGCTGTGTCACTTTTAAACCCAAAAACTATCTGGAAATTTTGCTTTCTGTGCATGCCCGAACTTCGCAAGCTAATATTTTGCATCTGGATCAGAAGGCCGCGAAGTGTACAACCTGTAAACCAGTTTGTGGCAAGTTTTAGCTCTTTATAGCACGACAGTGACCAGAAAACCACTCGACTAGCTTCAAAACGCGTTTTTCGGCAAAATCTCCAGGAGCAAATGGGTTAAAGCAAAGTACCAAGCTTTTTTAAAAAAAAACCACTTTTCAGCATAAAACAACCAAATCTGTCTATTTCATGTAAAATCAGGTGAAAAAGTTGGTAAAAGGCCATTTTTAGGTTTTTTGATTAAACCCCCAAAACTTCACCTGCTCATCAGGCAATTAAGAACAGAATTCACAAATCTGATAGCAAAACCCACAAGCCCCAGGCCGGGCTAACAGACACAACTTTCTCTACATGTTCAAAATCAGTGAAGCATGAGGAATCATGGAAAGGAATAGAAAGGCTGGTTGAGCAACATCCTACCCACTTTCACTATTCTTTGAATTGACTTACTCTTGTCGTTAAATTTTTATTTTTGGTTTGAATTACATTTTCTGTTGCTTTGAGACAACGTATGACAATAATAAATTGATGAGCTGGAAACAAAGGAAGCCAATCAGATAATAGACCTTGTCACGATTTTGAAAGCCACCTTGATGAGTACTAAGGCAGCCTTGTGAGAAATTCAGTCTGACGTGTTTGTAAGAGAATCTAACATAATTTCCCTAAATCAATTTTTTAATTCATATAATTATCCCTAAAACCAGGGCTCTCCAGAAGCTTCGGGGGTTATTAGGTCACTCAAACTGCATATAGAAATGCAATTATTTTTCACTGAGTCCCTTAAACAAAAAGTTTTCTGGGGATACTGACAGTGTGCCAACCCCCAACCATATCTACCCTGAAATGCTACTATGTCACATGAAAGGCTTCCCTGCTCTCCTTTCAATCTAATCTATTACCACTTCCACATTTTCTGGAGAATACTGCTAAAATCCTAATAGTCTCGAGCAGCTGTCTGTACAAATATCAAGAATTTACCATCAAAACTGAAATTTTGAAATTCTTCTTATTCAGTCAGAAAAAACCCTTCAGTGAAACACTTTCGAAAATCAAAATAAAAGTTTCCAAAGAATATTTTTTTTGAGAAAACTGGGGTGTAGTCACTGTTTATTAGAAATCACCAAAACCTTTGAATTATACCATTTTCAAAGCCCTTGGGAAGAAGAGTGCTTCAAGGAAACCAGTTCATCTTTTGCAGGTAAGTAAGGCATCCCAGTTACAATACTATTTGGTTTAATACTAAAAATATTGCAAGACAATGCATTTTTTACTCGGCTAAAAAACGCCCAAAGATTCCTATCTTCAGCACTTTCATAAACAATGAAAAATTGCGAAACTTTGAAGGAAAAAAATCACAGCTTGGTACATCAAATTTTGGAAGAATTATTAAATATTACATCTCGGAAAAACCCTACTTTTGCAGTACAAAATATAGAAAATCCATCTTGGGCAGCTGAAAAGAAACCCATTAAGAGAGGTAAACACACTGTTCATTTTTGATGTTTTCGGCATAAAAATGTTGAAACCATCAAGCAACTGGGGGTAACACAAATTCCATGAAATTATATATTTAATGTACCCAAATATGCATTTTTCGATGAAGATGAATAGATAGTGTTCTAAAATGATTAGTGTATAAATGAATATTTGTTAAAGTCTTTTATCATTTTGAATTTTAACGTATAAATGGAACTCAAATTCTCGATATTTACACACAGTCGCTCTTAAATTACCAGTAAAAATTGTGAAGATAATGATATTGTTTGGAACAACAAAATAAAATAATAAAGATACCTACCCACTGCAAACAATAACAGCATCAAAGAGTAAAACTTGAGACTCCTTAGTATGAGCATCTGTAACAACAACTTCCCACAGTGGCTTTTGACTGTCTTTTCTTATCAGTGGACGAACACTGCTGATAATGGAGTTGAACTGGATGTATTTGTACAAGTCAAAATGACTGGTATACTCTTTCAAGTATTTGAGAACTTGTTGATGACTTATGAATGAGCTCCACTCTGAAGGAAATGGAAAATCAGGAAATGCCATAATTTCTTTGGGCAGATTGGTTCTGAAAAATTATCATCAAAACTGAAAAATGTAAATTTCATTATATTAGTATAGGTAATAGCATGATTAGTAGTAATATTTGGCATAAATAACACCACGAGTGATATATCAAAATTGTTATACGTAACTTCAGGAGCTGTTAGGCGAGTGAAATTTGAGACAATTTTGAAATATCACGAGTGGTATTTATGCTAAATATCACGTACAAATCATGCTATTATTTGTTTATACTACTACCAGCAAAAGGTTGTAATTTTCACATGTAGGTATTTCAAACTAAGCTGAAATACCACTGCTCTAAGCCAATCAAATGCAGAAATATCTCATGTTGTAGTATAAGCCCTAAAAGTTGATGCAGTTGACTGTAGATAACATTTGTGACACATTTTACATTTAAAGGTTCAGGCCACACGAATTTTCACAATTGATAATCATGCTTGCACATAGCCTGCGCGCAGACGAAATTAAACTCTGGTTAACTCCGTCTGCAAAACAGCGCTGAAATCCTTGTTCTGGACTTCCAGCTGTGTACCCAGATTTGAGTACGTGCCACGATTGGCCAGTTAAAAAAGGCCTTTGTTTTGTTTGTCGTGATCGCCAATCAGGTTGAAGGGAAATTCGAAACGCACTTCCGGTAATTCGTTGAGTCCGTTGGGGGTTCAGAACAAGGATCTCTGCGCTGCTTCGCAGACGGTACTAATCAAAGTTTAGTTATCGTCTGCACGCAGGCTAGCTTGCACAGAGTTCAAAATTTGAACAATTAAATCTTTATCATCTTTATCATAAAAAGGAAAATGAACATAGTTCAAGATTTGATTAGGAAACTATGACTTGTTATTATGAATGATGATCACTGTGGAATTAAGTGAGTAGGCTTTTAAGATGATCAATGAGATTTTTGGTGAGATATTTTACACATAATGACCGTGTCTTAAGCTTCCTGTCAATTCTACTGTCAAATGTAATCATTCTATAGGTTTTTCTTTCTTTGCTTGCATCCTTTGATCGTTAAAGGACCAAATAGCTTTTCTTGAATCAAAGCACATTGGGTAGTGTCCAAGTTTGTACTTCATTAACTGTACAATGAGCCTCAATAAGTTTTTAAACTGTTAAATTTTGGATCTATATCAGCAAAGATCTTTGCATGCATTTGACAGTTCAAGCATTACTTAACATGAGATACAAGTAAAACAATTTTTGGAAACCAAAACACTGTGAGTAGCTTTTGTTTTTGTTATTTGACAAGATGCAAATAAGCTATTAGTGACCAGGTATTCTGGAATCTAGCTCAATTTTGTACCCTGTAGACCTTGCTTTTTTATTTTTTAGGCCATCCCCCTTTTTTTTTGGTTTAGTTTCGAATGCGTTTTCTGATATTGGGTTGGTTGGTCAGATTGAAAAAAAAACCTAAAAAAAAATCACAAGTAGTCTCCGAATAGTAGGCCCTGGTACCCTAGGATGACATTAAAAGTTAACATTCCCATCTTTGGATTAACAAAATGCACAATATCCTGTAAAAAATAATCATGTTTTTGTTCCTGTTGTTCTCTATGCTGTTATACTGTGCTCATTTTTCAGATTAAAAGAATTATTTCAAGTGAAAAATGGTTTAACTATAATGTTACTTTTTTTTTTTTTGAAAATGCTAAAAATTTGGGTCAGTCGGACGACACTAAACGGAGAAAAAAAGAGGATGGCCTTACCGGCTGAAAATTATATTGTACGTTTTGCACAAATTAAAGCCAATGGGGTAGTGCTTGATGCAACTTGACAGCATTTCAGACGTCTCTTTCGAGAGCTTGAGACTCGAAGAGACAGCTGAAATTTCAGTTAAGGAAGCCGAAGGATTTAAACACAAAATTTTCCAAAGGTTCAAATGCTGGCCCTGGCTGGGAGGTGAGGAATAGTGCAATTTTGATGACTGAAACAAGAAAGACCATTCATTTGCCCCATGCAAGGGATTCCGGAACCTGGGAAAGTTTTGCTTGTGGAATATGGATTCCAGGAAAATTTTGCGTGTGGAAACCGGAATCTTGAGCTTTGAAATCCAAAATACAGCTCAAGGAATCCAGAATGCCACTTACGATTACAATATTAGAATCAAAATTCCACTGACAAAGACTGGTATCCAATAGCTAAAATCCGGAATCCACAGTGTGCAATCCAGAAATCAAAGACTGTGATTCCTTTTAATAGTTATGGGGGGATTAATTCATCAAGAGTGTCGGAAAGGAAAGGTTCCTGAAAACTGATTTAAAAAATACCGAATGTCCACCAATACAAATAACCCGCTTTACCTGAGGTTTCTGTAAACGCTGGAGTGAACCGGAATCCCACGTTCGTCGACCCCTGTATCTTCAGTGAACACCCATGTTCCGCCGACACAAGAAGACTGTTCGAACACTTGCACATCAAACGCATCCAGCTCACTTGTAAGATGTCTAGCAGCCGAGAGTCCTGCAGCTCCGGCTCCAATCACACACACTCGCAGCCGTGGCATCTCTTAAACTAACAATCAAGTTACTCTTACGCTCATAAAAAGTATTAGACCGAGAACCAGAACCGGTATTTTGCACCCGCGGCCATATCTGTTGAGAAGGAGAGGCTGCTAAGCTCAAATGGCGGGGAACCTGGAGAGGCGTAGTGAAAGATTTGAACCCGAGCGCGGGTGCTGATCCTGGAACAGGCGAACAGGCTATTTCCACACCCGTTTTCGGGCCTTGGTTGTTCAAAGGCTGGATAGCGCTGTCCTCCACATAAATCTTTATCCAGTGGATAGTGCAATTGGTTTCCCCAATACTTAGCCCCTGGATAGTGATTTATCCGGTGGATTAGCGCTATCCGACGTTTGAACAGCTGCGGCCACTGAGGAGGCCATGCCCATTTTCAGACCTGGTCTTTAGGCGGAAATTATGTCATCATTACTTAGATTAAAGAAAAAAATTCTTCAAATTCATTTAGAATTCGCATATTTCGTTCTTACTCATTTCGAACTTAAACAATAACTACGTTCATACGCTCCCGTATAGTAGTTCCCTAGAAAACCATACCCGATTCCAGATCAAAATGGGCAAAGTGTATACCCGTTTTCTGACCAAATAGGCCCCAAAACCCTGCCTTTTAGGGCGACACATACCTATATAGCTTATATAAGGGAGTACCCCCGGGGGTTGAACCCAGGAGTCATTTCAATTTATTTTAATTTCATTTTAATAACATGAACTGGCGTGATGTAACTGACGTGATACAACTCACTTTAAGTGACTCTGAAGGACCTAAAGATGACTACCGCACAGAGTCACTCCACAACAACAGTCCTATTCAGGACTACCTTCACCCGAACGATCCTAATCAACCTACTTATGAAATGTGGAATCATTCAGGAAAAATATACCCCGTTATGACCCTTCTTTTTATTATAGCCCGCGCGAGCAAGCTCTCCAATTGGGGAAATCGCGGCGAGAAGTCACGCCGAAGAGCAGCCCGCGAAAGGAGAAGCGAGTGCACTCTCTAGCGATGGATAAATCAGGAGAGCTTGCTAGCAGGCTGGGTTTTTTATAAAAAAAATTTGGCCTCTTCAATTTATAAGGGAGAATCACGAGAAATGGTACTTTGCCGGCATGTCAGTAATTCATCTTATTATTCATTCAAAATCTCGTTTTCTGACTGTTGCACAATCCGTACCTAGAAAGATGGCGACTGGTACATTTACCCACAGTTCTTAGCGCATGAAAACCATAAAATTGCTCATAAAAACGCACTGAAAAGTTTTATAAACTTCAAACCTAGGATAGGCAATGTTGCTATTACAGAGACGAATTTCGCCCCCCAAAGTATGACCTTATGTGTAACTGGCCGTGTTAGGTTGGAAAGGAATTGTGGTAAAATGTACAGCCGCCATCTTTTTTCGTACGGCGGATTCCCGCGGCTATTTTAGCCTGCGTAGCAAGCGTTTCGGTGCGGTTCCGAGTACAAGAGCGGGGAGGGGATGGAGGAAGAAAGGAAGGAAACGCTTGCAGTCTAGACAAACCCCGGGATATAAATGTGTGAAAAAAAAGGTAGATTGCTTTATAAGTCTTATAAGTCACCGTCCTTAAGTTATCCATTATTTTATCTCATAGTACTCAAAGTAATTGCAACAAACCCCAGTTTAAAAATATCAAAATGATAGTCTAAGTGATTTTCAGCCACAATTTTCAGTCGCATTCCTTACAAAACAGACCCAGCCGCTCTTGTATCCTAATAACCCGGCCAGCCCGGCCTAATAACAGAGTCGAATACGTGGTGAAAAGAAATATCATCCTTACTGCTTAAAATAGGGAAATAAACTGAAAAAAGTAAACTTCACCAAGCCTGGAAATTCTTAGCTTGTTTTGATTTTAGTGTGATTTGTGCTCTGCTATGGCAAGGAGATCGTGATCGTGATATGTGGACAAAATAAAGTAACGCAATAAATTTTAAATTCCATTACGATTTCTCGATGGATATGAAGAAAAGCAACTTTTTAGAAGACCGTTTTGAGCTGTCCAGTTTCAGTCTAAAAATCTACAACGTGATTGCTTGTACAGACCGTAACCGTCGTTACGCTTCTGCGAGTTCTGTCAGCACAGGCGCCAAAACCCACTAAATAGCCAATCAGAAGCGCGGTTATCCTGAAAAATACGTTAACATAATTTATGCATTAGGTTCGGCACATATGAAGTACGACATATGAATCGAAGTCGATCTTTTGCCTCTCTATTCGACAAGCTTGGTCGAATAGAACGGCAGAGTCGACCCAAATACAAAAGTGCCGTTCCAAATTGGTTCATACGTCGAACTTTACATGTGCCGAACCTAACAATTAGGTTCGGCACATGTAAAGTTCGACGTTTGAACCGGGCCTTAAACGTTTAATATTCAAAAAAACAATAGTTGGGCATTTAATCATCAAAGGAGCGCTTAATTTCTTTGATTACAGAAATGGTGTAAGACAACGAAGCCTATCTAAATGAACTTTCATTACTTCTTAACAAACAAGACATAGATCCCATATTACTACCAAATGGTTCCTTCTAAACTGCCCTCTATACGCAGATGACCTGGTACTTATATCTTGATTTCCCCAATATTATCATATAATAGCGAATTTGGGGTGTATATGTAAAACATGATTTTAAAGCTTGGGACAATACCCCAATTGAAAAAACCTACTTGAAATTTTGCAAGCGTTACCTAGAAATAAGCAATAAAGCTTCAAATGTTACAAGTAGAAGTGAATTAGGACGGTTCCCATTAATTATTAATGTTTATAAAAACATCCTTTATTACATATTGTATCTTCTGCGTAAAAACGAGGATACTATTGTTAAACAAGCCT